ATAAAGACATTCTGCAATACTGCATATGATAATTATGGATGTGTAACAACCATATTCATTAGGAATAAATCCCCTATATGTTCCCTACATAGATATGAACCCCTTTAATACATATTTTCTGATTATGTTTAGAAGAATAACCACAATGTTAGGTTTTGAATGAGAACTGATGGAGGGAGAAAATGTTCATCATTGTTAGTAATTCCACAGTTGCTGAGACTTGCTTTTAACGGTTATAGCTACAGCCCCAAAGTTCAGAAGAATACATTTCACAGGAAGAAAGCCACAAATTTAACAATAAATTCAATCGTAGGATAAACTTGTACCTTGTATTATCTCTTTATTTATTATTATTATATTTTTCCCACTTTTCTTTTTTTTCCATGAATGTCACTACCTCTAACTGTCAGTTTTACTGACCATCTGAATTCAGTAATTATTGTTGCCCACACCCCCCCTCCCAGTCAGTAGCATACTTACCTTCATATACTGATTAGTGCCTCTGTCCTAACTATACTGTAGTCTCTTCTATCCTCAGTCCCTCTGCCTCTTAAAGATGATTGTAATATGAAATAGTTGTATATCAGTAAAGGCTTTTTTTTTCCATGAATGTCACTACCTCTAACTGTCAGTTTTACTGACCATCTGAATTCAGTAATTATTGTTGCCCACACCCCCCCTCCCAGTCAGTAGCATACTTACCTTCAGATACTGATTAGTGCCTCTGTCCTAACTATACTGTAGTCTCTTCTATCCTCAGTCCCTCTGCCTCTTAAAGATGATTGTAATATGAAATGTTGTATATCAGTAAAGGCTTGTCAAATGGCATATGTATAATGTCCTTATAATTTGATTTTTTCCCATGATTCCTCCCTAGTGTTAAGTTTTTGTTTTTGGGCCTGAATGCATTGCAAGAGTTTTATTTATTTTTTTTATTTTGGCATATCCCCTCAGCAGCTTTGTGGTGCATAATAGTTAAATGGCATGCAACATATCTTAAAGTGTTATGTATTGTGTATCTGTCTTTGCTCATTATTATTTTATCAATATCCAAATTAATGATTTCCCTTTGCATTTAAAGATTAGGTAATATAAAACTACATCAGTTTTTTTTCCCCCATGAAAACAAACCAAGGGATGCTAAATTAGAAATGTATGTTGCATATAATTGAAATACTTATGGATTAACTAAGCTGTATGTGACTTACTAATTAATAACATTCTGATCCTGTCTCTTATATTCTAAATCATTCAACAAAATTACAATACATGGGAACAAATTCTCATGGAAAGACTTAATAGTACCTTTAAAAAATCTACTGTGCTGGCTCCATAGTGATTGATCATATGAAATGTAAATCTGTTCATCTGATTGAATATGGTTGATAAATTTTAACTATTATAAAAATGGTAAAGAACATTAAATTATTCAGCATAAAGGTTACATACATGCTGTTTTGTGTGCTGACACTTTCCAGTGAAACCTGTACATGGAATAGGATGAAATTATGAAGTGCTTTAGATATTGACAGAGAAATGAGAATAAGTGGAAGATAAATACTCATCAGATGAATTCCCACCCCATCATTAAATTAAGTCATGTTTTTATTATTGTGAATAACATCAGTGTTAGTGGATGCATGTGTTTAATATTAAATGTCCTCACTGCTCTTACTTGATGTTTCATTGATTGGCAAAGTAGGGGGTAACTGGATTTTTTAAAGATTATTATGATTTATTTATTTTTTTCTAGTTTTTGTTAGCAGATTTCTGTGATTGTAGACTAATATGTGATATGTCTGTAGCCATGCGGATCAATGGTCATGGAAGCCGTGTGCCTCGACACCACGGCTATGAGTCATCGTCTATGATCAGTTCTGATTTAGAATCTACTAGCTTCTTTGACTCGGATGATGATGCCTCCAGTCGTATCACTGCCACCACAACAGGTATGGGGATACTCTTAAAACCAGTTCCACCTGTTTTGAAGAAATGGTTTCATTAGATTGCTCCATGTTGCTCTAACTTTCTTGAATTTTTGATTGCTAATTTTGTAGTTATTTTCTTTTAGCGTTTATTTTTGAAGGAATTTGTTTTTTTGGAATTATTTATTTTATTTTATTTTATTTTATAACTATCTTACCATAGCCATATTTAGTGAGCTATGTCCTAAGTTCATAGATCCTTACAACATGTTCTGTTCTGACTTTACTCCCTCTGTTAACAGGAAGCAGCAGTGTGTCTCGCCTCCATGCCCGCCATCGACGGAAAAAGCAGCGCCGACACCGCCTGCAACCTCCTATGTCTCGCACTTCTTCTATATCTTCTATTACCGACTCTACAATGTCTCTTAATATTATTACTGTCACGTTAAACATGGACACTGTCAATTTTCTGGGGATATCTATCGTTGGGCAATCAAGTAAAGGTGGCGATGGTGGTATCTATGTGGGATCAATTATGAAAGGGTAAGTTTGTTGTTGTTCTTGTTTATCAGTTATAAATTGTTGACTCCAAATGCACATGATGCTGATATCTAGATATTCTAATTCTGAGAATTGAATATTGAAATTCATACTTCAAAGTGAGTTTCTTTAAGAATAATTTGGGATATATTGCATATATTTGTGTAATATTATATTTTTATCCATTCAAATATATACATATGCAAAGAGTAAGCTTGAAAAAAGAAGCCAAAAAGAATGCTGGATATATTTCTATCAACTAATATTGGGGCATACAAAGGTAGTTCAAATTGTTCATGAGCAAAGTTCAGAACTTGAGAGACGGCAAGATATGGTGTATAATTGCCTGGAATAAAGCCTCCAGAGATTAGCTTTTTAGGAAGGGAAAAAATGTATACTCATTTACATATATCATTCATTTATTTAGTAGACAGACCTATCCAGAACCTGGGGTCACTAGGAAAACTGATTTAGATAATATGGCTCTTTGGTGTTGAAAAGGTTGGGTTGTTCTGGTGTTTGTATGATAATGGATTAAAGGAATAAAATCTTTGGGGATGGAATAGGTGGATCATTAGTGAGGTAGTATTAGATAAGTTTAAACAAATTGCTTAAGATAATGAGAGAGTTACTCCGATGAAAGTAAGTCCTGTGGGTTTAAGCTCTTCCAGTTTATATATTTGTGATTAGATAGTATAATAGTAAGGGTTTTTATTTTGATTAAGTTGTTATTTTTGTTAAATATACAACTGTAGCAAGATTTTTTTTATATGAATCATTTTGGTGTATTTCAAATCTCAAGTAAATTTTTTTAGTAAAATTAAAATAGCTATCCACATTTAAGGTTGTAATATATGCCTGAATAGGAATGATATTTATATGAATGTTTAATGTTGAATTTTATAGACCTATTTTTAAAAAGTACCTCCAAAATGGAACAGTAAATGAAACCCTGTAGTACCATGGCTGTTCAAGTGCTTATGTTTCTGAGTTACAAATTTATAAAGCATCTGTGTAAATATGTATTGTAGAATCAGTCTCTATAATTGCACCGTTAGCAAACTTGTCCACAAAATATACAATTACTTGCATGATAAAATTTTGGACTGAAAGTTCTGTTATGAAATGTAAAGAAAATGAACAATATTGTAGATTAGGGATTAGTACAGAGGGTTTTATTCTAGCAGATTTGGTAGTATCTCTATATGTTATCTATCCTAAGATTGTGTAATATTTTAAAGATTTTCGTAATGTATGGTCTTTGGGAATTCCCTCCCAGAAAGATAAATTTGTCTTATTTACAGTGTTATAAAGAGAAGGGATTGACTAATCTCATTTTGATGATACTCTGAAAATGGTATGACATTAGTCATGTGATTTCATTGTTAGGTTTGAAATAAATACTAATCTTAACTTGAGTGATAGTAGTTATGAGTTTATATCAAAATATATTGCTTTTTATCTTTTCAGTGGAGCAGTAGCATTAGATGGGCGTATAGAACCTGGAGATATGATCCTCCAGGTTAATGACATTAACTTTGAGAACATGAGTAATGACGAAGCAGTTCGGGTATTGCGAGAAGTTGTTCAAAAACCAGGGTGAGTTCCTTGATATTTAGAATACTAATCAGTTTCATATATGCAAATACAAAGGGAAGTAATTGCATTAAGTGAAAATTACAAATGCTCCCTCTTACATACGATGAAAAAGACTTCTCACTTTCAAATCTACATGCATACACACAGTAATGTAATTGCAAATGGAAACTTCTTATACAAATCAGCTGGCCAGATGATAGATCTATTCACAAAATTATCCAGTCATTTCTTAGAGTTATGGCATACTATATATATCCTAAAGTGGTACTGGGTTATGAACAGTTTTGGATTTCAACTAGTGAAATATGTGTTGTGTAAATGTTTTTATTTGATGTTTAGATAGTCAACAGAATATAAGAAGTTATGGCCCTTGGGCCAACTTATTAAGTATTGTCCATCAAATTCACACCTAGTTCCATAGTCTCTTTATATGGTAAAGAGAGGGAGTGAAGAAATGTACAAATGTGGGTGAATGTAATTTTTTCTTTATTTGTTTGTGTTTTTGTATTTGTGCTATATAATTTGTATCACTGCATATCTCTTATAAGGTTGGAATATTTCTATATCGTCCAGAAGTTTTACATACATGGCTGGCACCTTTCTATCCCATTTTAGCAAAATTTGCAGCTTTCAACTTCCATAATTTTTGAAAACCCAGTCTTTTCATTTCTTGGTTGATATCTTCTTTATTTCTTTGACAATTTCCTTCATCCTTGTCTTTTTTTTAGGAAGGATAGCATGTGATTTAGTAAAGGCAATTATTTCACTTTCATTTAATATTTTTGTACCATAGGTGTGAATGTGTGTGCGGGTGTACATGCGTGGAAGCGTGCACTTGTTTGTGTGCGTGTATACTTGTGTATGTGGAGGTGTGGGTGTATGTGTCTGCATATACCATAAGATTGAGCAAACAAGTTAAACATATAATAGAGATACACTGCCATAGATGTGCAAAATAGATGAGCAGACCATTACTAGAGATGGAGGATACATGGTTATGATTTTGAGATTAGCATTTTGATACAGGGATATCTCAGCTTTGATAGAAAAACATGCAGACAGACAGACATATATGTATATTTACTTATTATTTGTGCATTTATGTGTATCTTTCTATCTATATCCATCTATCTATCTATCTATCTATTTATCTATCTTTATCTATCTATTTATCTATCTATTTATCTATCTATTTATCTATCTATTTATCTCTCTCTCTCTCTCTCTCTCTCTCTCTCTCTCTCTCTCTCTCTCTCTCTCTCTCTCTCTCTCTCTCTCTCTCTCTATATATATATATATATATGTGTGTGTGTGTGTGTGTGTGGTAAAACACTCTGCTGTTTTAATACTATGGTAGGATAACCTACAATGTGCAAACTGGATTTATTGAAAATGATAGTACAGTTTCGAAATCCACCTGGATTTCATTTTCAGGTCAGACCTGAAGGTGGAATCCAGGTGAATTTCGAAACTGTAGTCTCATTTTCAATGGGTTTAGTTTGAGCATGTTTTTTTTTTTTTTTTTTTTTTCTACCATATATATATATATATATATATATATATATATATATATATATATATATATATATATATATATATATATATATATATATGTGTGTGTGTGTGTGTATATATTTTTATTTTTTATTTTTTTTCCCATTTTTTTCAAAATGAAATTTGTATTTTCAGGCCAATCAAACTTGTTGTAGCTAAATGTTGGGATCCCAATCCAAAGGGCTATTTCACCATACCTCGCACAGAGCCTGTTCGACCCATTGACCCCGGTGCGTGGGTTGCCCATACTCAAGCATGCCGAGGAATACCAGGTTGAGTGTAGACCATGTTTTATTGTATTTGCAGTGCTGCTAAGTTGTCATGGTAACGTGTTTATGACTATAAGATATGAAGGAGCACTGGAAAATACAATGTAAGATCTCTGTTAATTATTTTTTATGTAAATAGATGCATATACTTTTTTCTTATTTTTATAATTAAATTGCTGTAAACACATCCAACAATAGTATTGTTAGCGAGTGATGGCAAGCCGATACAAGTGCTCCATTCAGACTAATCATGATTGCGTTCACCTTGAATATGTGAGTGTTTGCCCCTAACAATATGAATATGGAGGATACTGTTATGGAATGCAATAGACATTTAGAATTTCTAGGTATATCTGTTGCTTTTCATGCACTTTCAGATGTTGATAAACAATGATGCTCTCTATGTAGACAAATCTAAATTTAGGATTTAATATGTGAATAAACAGATTTTTGCATTTATTTGTTTTCTCTCTCTGTCTCTTTCTCATTTTATTCTTGAATGTATTTAGGTTAAATGTTAAATTAAAGTTGTCGATTATTCACAACAATATAATGTACATAAGTACATCTTCACAAGATACAGTCTCATCAGTATGTTCAGTCTTGCACATTTTAGCCTGGTTTCTTTGGGTTCTTCGATGTTTCCACTTGATTTATGTTCTGATTAATGTACAGCACATTTTATGTAATTTCAAAGTGGTATATGAACATCTTGATAAAGGAGTGAAGTAGGTGTAAATACAGTAGAGAATACAATTATACTTTTTATACTTGGTGTATAAAAATTATTTTTTTAAAAAACCATTGATATGGTCATTAATGATGAATTTTATCATCACATTTACTCAGTAACTAAGATCTCTTTTAAGCAAATTATTTAATTTCTTTAGGACACTTCTCATGTCCTCACAAAGAGAAAATGATAATGATTTAGGAGGATTTTTGTATCTATTTATTTCAGACTTAATTTTAGTTAAATTGATTTACTTGTTATAGTGCAAAGTTTTATTTTCTATTTTGCTTTCTCTTTTTATTTCCAAGATTTTGGTTTTCTCAAATTCATTAAACATTTTGATTATCTAAGTGGGCCACTTGCATCATTCAGAATTAACTATTCCAGTCTTCTTCTTAGAAAATTGCATTAAAATGGTGATTTTTAAACTGTAATTGGCACTGGCAAGAACATTGTGTGAAGTATGCAGTAAGTAAGTAAAAAAAATAAAAATTGTTGATTGGTAGCAGTATTATGTTATTGGCCATTAAAAGCAAAGAATTAATGACAAAAATCATAGTCATATAGTTGAGTACAGTTAAATCCCTCTATTATTCTTGTCACTATTTTTGACATGAAAATGGTTGAGTATTCCAGTATTTTAAATTGTGGTATTAATAATCATGTGCATTGTTCTCTGCCACAGCCATTCTAATTTTGGATTCAGTTACGTGTTTTTTAATTAGAAAGAAAAGCAGTTGCATGGGAGTGTATTTTCATAATTCATAGAGGTTGTTAGGTTAAGCTCGCATATTACTTTGGCATGTCTTTATATGTGGATGACTAAGAATTCTAGGCTTTTCTTGTTTTAGTATTTAATACAGGTTTAAGTTCTGTGAAA